TGCCCCGCCAGGAGACGCCGCGGGACAGCTCTTACCAAGGCTGCGATCCAAAGCCATACCAGGCAAGCTGCAGGATCTGGAAGCCCAGTCCCAACAGGATGGTGTTCTTATTTCCTATGGAACGCATGAGGATTCCCAACACCACTGTCTGGAAGGAAAAACGGGAGCTGTGAAAGGGAGCGCAAAGCCACGTGGCAGCACTGGAAGACAAGAGTTTGGGAACTGAGGGAGCTCGTTGTGCTCCCTACATGTAGCACCCAGCACACCCCCCGCCCCCAGCAGCTGGAGCAGAGTCTGGGGGGTCTCGGAGCACCGCGGGGCCGCCCCACGGTCGGCTCTTCCGCAAACACAGCTACAGTCAGACGAGGGGACGGGGGGATGCAGGTACCCGCATGTGGTCCGAGAACATCCGTGTGGCCACGGGGATCACCAGGAATGTCGGACATTCTTATAACCTGCTAGCACCAAGGCAGAAACTGCTTCTCACCTGAGCCAGTATGGAGAGAATTCCAACTACACCGATGAAGGCTGCCACGGTCTCCGAGGAAAAACCGATGACCTGTGAAAACACCAAGGAGACTTTCCAGGCAAAAAGTTTGTACCAGGAGGAGCTGCTCCACCAGCGCCACTAAGTTTTGCTGGCATCACCCATTGGGCACGGAAACGTTGAGCAGCCATCCCTGCTGCCGCAGGAATAACAGGGAACACGTTCCTCTGGCCGAAGGCACAGCTTTAAATCACCAGGGAGCGGCACGGACAGCCAGATTGCCGGCAAGAAGCTAAGCCATGGTCCCCAAATGCCTACAGAGCAGGCACCAGACTCCCACATTTCTCAGGGAAGCAGGAACAAGTCCCTGTTTCTTACACCTTCACTAAGCTACTGGCCAGGATGAGCTTCCTCGGGACACGCAGCTCAGACCACAGGTGTAGGCCGGGGTTTCCCGCGGTCAGAGCCTTCCCCCATCGCAGGACACTGACCTGCCGGAGGTACAGGAAAAAGCTGGAGTACTGGCCGGCTTCCGGAAGGTAGGAGAGAAAGACGGTGATACAGATGAGCAGCACGGTAGAATCCTGACCCACCTTGCGCAGGGACTGTAGGGAAGGAGGGTGGTGAGTTAAAAACCTTTTTAAAAAAGAGTTAATACCATTAAATATCCTGCAGGTAGAGAGGGAGCAAAACCCAGAGCTTAGGGCACCATCTCCTAGCTAAGAAGGGGGTGTCGGGGTGACCCCCCAGGGCAGCGTTTCACAGGATGATGCTGCCACAACCCACCAGCTCCAAGCACACAACGGCGCCAGTGTACGCCTGGAACAAGGAGCTTGAACCGTTCTGCTTCATGGACTCATAGTCAAGTGGTTTTGGCCAGAATTGGTTTTTCTCAGAGCCAAAACACTCCTCCCAGCAAGTGGAGGTGAGGTGAAACCACACAGAGCTCACCTCCACCAGGAAAGGTCCTGAGAGCCAGGACACTACTCCTGGCACAGTACCACCGGGAAGCGACGGGATTTGTGTTCCAATGGCTGGCTCATTTCCACCAGGACATGCCCGTGCTCCGGGGCATCCGGAGCTGCCCTCAGGAGGTTTGTAGCCACATGAAATCAGTGAGACTGGGTCGCTCTAGGCCTTGCAACACCCGTTCTGTGGAGCCCATCTTGCTTTTGAGGGAGGTTAGCGGAATGAAAGCAAAGAGAGGCACTACCAGCATGCGGAAAAGCAGCGGCAAGATCGCTTACAGCAAAGGGGTCCGCTTGTTCCCAAGAGATTGGAGCTCCCCAGGAGACCGGGCGCATCTCCTCCGGCAGAGACTCCGGCACAGCCAGCAGGATGAAGCCAATATCCAGCAGAGCCACCCCTGAGGCCAGCACAACCACCAGCGTGTCGCCGTAGGCTTGGGAGAGGTACGCGCCGATGGCGGGGCTCGTGACCAGGCTGGCAGCAAACGTGGCCGACACCTGGAAGCACAAAACATGGATACCACCTCTTCTTCCTGCCTTCCCTCCTTCCCAGAGTCTGTTCCTCCTCCAGAGCTACCCAAGGGTGCTGGTTTTGCCCAATTCGATGGAGAAAATCCGGCCGAGCAGGGACTCCTGTAGACAGAGGTGATGTCCTCTTGCTGCAACCCAGGCTAAGCTCTAGCACAGGGAAATGAAACCTGTCCTAACCCTTCACACACGACAACGTCGGTGACCCTACAGCAACGGTCTGGTCATGGGCTGCTTGCATGCACACCGGCATCACCGCCTGCCCCCTTCGCTGGTGCGGACAGGCGGGTTTAAAGGCAGAGCTGGTGCAGAGGAGACCCCAGCCCGGCTGGTTTAAAGGCAGAGCTGGTGCAGAGGAGCCCCCAGCCCGGAGGGTTTAAAGGCAGAGCTGGTGCAGAGGAGACCCCAGCCCGGCTGGTTTAAAGGCAGAGCAACACCGCAGCCGGTGTTCACACCACACAGAAACCAGCCCTCTCCCTCGGTGTTCAATCACGCACAGAACAACAGGGAGAACAGTAAAAGGCGGATCTTTCCACTGACACTGCCCTCAGGCTTGTTGATAAATCTCCCACCCTAATTTTATACCTCTCCTACCTACAAAGCCCCGGCTATTTCTTTCGAGAGCCAGGCCAGTCACTCAGCTCCTTACCAAGCCGTACGCCGTGCTGCGCTCATGCTCCTGTGTGATATCGGCAACGTAGGCAAAAATCACAGAAAAGGTGACAGCGAAGACTCCAGACATGGAAATGACAGCAAAATACCACCTGAAACAGGCAGAGTTAGAGAACAATCACACCTCTCCTTTCACGTTCCTTCAGACCATCCTAATCGTGGCACCAGGACCTCTCGCACTCGTTCCGCTCCCCAGAGCCCCTCGGTTGTAACGAGGCTGAACTCACCACGGGCTGATCTTCATGAGGGGAATCGGCGCACACGTGAAGAAGACCGTGAGGAGGAGGAAGGATTTCCTGCCCCAGACATCAGAGAGAGCACCAATCAGTGGGGCACTTAGAAAAGAAAGCAGACCCTAAGACAGACAGGACAGAGAAATCAGTCAAATTCCAATGGTCGACAGCAGGAGCTTCCGACAGCATCACCTCAAGAGAAAAACACGAGGAGACAACCCACTCCTATTGCCCACAGCAGGCAGCGCTGCCAAACAGCACAGTTTGCTCCACTGCTCACGTCCTTTTAGGGGGAAAACCCCAAATCTTCAACCAGCTAGGGGCTGCTAAACACCCCCACTGCCTCCCGCTCCCTGCAACTGCTCAGGCTGGCAGCGGGGAGATGCCCTGCCAGCACCCAGCGGTGTCGGCGCAGCTCCGTCGCGTTAACACCCGCAGTTTGTTGGGAAGCGGTCTCTTTCAGATGGAAAATATGGATACAGGGCTCGCATCACGTGGATTCCAGTATTTTCAATATTGGAATACGGAAGCACCAGCTGCCACAGCCCCAAACCCATGTCGACAAGCTCAGTGAAGTCGACTACACGAGCTCCCCGACGTCTGCCCTGTCGGGTTCTCATTCTGCATCGGGTTTCTAGCAGCACCCCACACTGAAACGTCAGCACTTTGTGTCACGGCCTGGCTGCTGCCGGCACATGCCACAGGCTGTAACGGCCTGCCACCTCGTGCACGGACCGCAGATTCAAACGGAAGCCCGGAAGGAACATTCCTTACCTTGACTCCATGGATCAGGCCGTTCATCAAGAACGTGTGCTGAGGAAAAGTCTGGTGTAACACCTGGGAAAAACAAACCCAAAAAACGCAGCTAGCAACTTCTGCAAAATTTCCATGAGCACTGGACAGCCAGATGCCTGGAAGAGCTCAGAACAGGGAAAACGGGACACACGTAGCGGCCACGCTACGTGAGGAGCTCTGCCTCCCGCTCCAACACAGGCAGCGCTTTCCTTAGGAATTCCCAGGCCTAGAGCTATCCCACCACGCTTGGGCAAGGCTAGGATAACCTGACACATGCCCTTCTCCATCCTTACGTCACCTGATTTCCCGCTGGCTTCACCTCACGTGGCCCCATAACTTCCCCGGCGCTCCCTCCCTGCTTCCGCACGCTCCATCGTCTCACACCACCAAACCAATATTCCCCAATACCTGTCCTCTCGCACAGTCACCCAGACACCCGAGAGCGGGTCAGGAACGTGCAGGACACGTTAGACTTGGTCGGGAGCTGGCTCAGCACCACCAGAAAATGAGTTTACAAGGCTGAGATCCCTCCCCACGCTGCCAAGTCGGAAGTTTACAGCTCCGTAACTAGCCGTTAACATCCAAGGTGAGAGTTTAAGTTTCCCTAATCCCTCTGCACTTAACTTCACTGTGAAGTTGCCTTTGCTGCCTGCGTTAATCGCAACCCGGCCAAGGCCCGAGCGCGTCACCGCCGGGCTCTCCTCGAACGAGCCTGACTCGGTGCAGCAAGTTACTGCCAGGAAACTGTCTCTGGGCCCCAGACAAGGACGGTGGCGGTTCAACAAACGTCTCTCATCCCTGAGTAAGTCAGTGTAGGGCAAAAGGTGAGTCTTCGGAGAGAAAGTCAAAGCTTTGCTCAACTTTCTCTCATTATGCTCTCAAGTGCCCTTTTTTTCCTAACACACAGGGGGAAAAAAAGCAATAAATGACAGTAAACTACCCATAAATTCTACTAATTTCGGGCCAGACCTTTCACTGTGGCTTCCTTGAAACCCTCCAAAAGCTTTCAAAAATCTCACTCCTGCTTTGCTCCACTTTAAGATACGATAATGAATAAAATAATTGCCCAGCTCCATCAAAAACTGCAGTAGCTCCAGCTTTTTCAGGTACAAACCACGGCACTTTGGTGTCTGCGTCCCACAGCCTACGCTACGGGCTATCCCCCCGCCAGCCCACGGGATACTCCAGCCCCCGAGAGCCGCTACTATCCCCTCGCTCACCGTGAGCATCGGCGTGGTCAGCAGCCCCCAGGCGAAGAACTCCAGGAAGATCACCACCACGGCGTGGTACACGCTGGGCTCGCCGATCCCCTGCCGCTGCAAACAGAGCTCCGTGAGCGACGGGACGCGCGACCCCGACGGGTTTGAGACGCGTGGTGGGACGCCGCAACGCCGAGGCTGACTCCAGCCTTTCCCGAGGCGACTCGGTGCTGAGCGCGGGCAAGTTCACGCCGCAGCGCCTCTCCCTGCGTCCGGGCTCGGTCTGCGGGGCTGACTGGTTCCAGTGGTTTTATCCAAACCCAGGATCCCTGACGCCCTCGTGCTTTCTCTATGCATGACCAAACTTACCACCCTCACCTTAAGGACTTGGAAATGAAACCCCTCGATTCGCTGCCTATTTTGACAGCGGTACGTGCCGTGCAACACCCCCAAGAATTCTCTGGGAGTTTGGGAAGGCAGTTTTATCCCTCAGCACCCACTCCAGCATGATGGGAAAGGCACCACCCTTACATCAACTGTTAAAAAAACCCACACCTCAAGGCCTTGCTTATCTTTCCATAAAGATTTCTCCTGGCACTTCCAGGGCACCACTTGTTCCATCCCTTTTCCAAGTGCCCCACCTCAGCTGCCAGCCCAGGGGGTTTTCTCCTGCCACTCAGGACAGACCTGCAAAGTCACGAGCTCACAGGGAAAACCAAATCACGAGGAACAGGAGGAGAACACACAAGTTTCAGCTGAATTACACTAGGGAACCGCGTGCTGTTCCACGGGACCAACCAGCAAACCATGAGCTGAAGAAGCACAGCCCTGACACATGATTAATAAACCCACCTGAAATGTCTGCAATCCCAGCAATTTAGACAGCTTCCAGCTGCTTGTAGAGTACCCAGAAGTTAAAAAAAAAACTCCCATCAGCCGCACAGACTTCACATTCCAAAGGGATATTGGATTTGGTATGGGAAACCTCAAATCCATGTGCACTTCTAGGCCAAGAGAACGGACTTTTGGAGTAAGTTCCTCACAGCTGACTAACCGTGCCCTGAGACACAAACTAACGGGCCCGAGCAAAGATGTATCCGTAGTGGTATCCTGCCTCCAGCAGCCACGACTGACAGATCCTCAGGGACAGGAATTCAAGAAATTTGGCACGTGAAGAGCAATCTTTTACCCAGTGGCATCCTCCCGGGTTTTGACAGAATAATACCACGTGTCAGCTAACTCGCACGGCTGCAAGTTGTCTGAAACAGGAGGGAGGGCAGCGAGAGACGTTACGCTGCTGAAACGTCCTCGATATCCACAGACTCTGCTAAAACCCGCAGACAAGCTAAATCTGCTTAAAAAACAAATCAACAGCACCCCGACGAGCGGCAGCCTACCCAAGGGGTCACAAAAAGCCAGTTTCAGGGCACACAAACCCCATCGCGTTTTGTAGCAGAGGGAGAAGCCCCAAGGCAGCACGGAGCCGGTAACGGAGTGCAGCTCTCATCACCCACCTTGCTCCACAGAGCAGCCTCTCCTCTTCCTCTCACCGTCCCTCTTTACCCTCTCCAGCACCTGAACGTTTCTACCACGTGACAGCACAACAATTTCCAGCCAATCTCTCTTTACGGAGCAGGTCCAGGTCTGACCTGTTCACGGCTTAACGTCACTCCTTCCACTTACCAACCGCCCTCCTGCGTCACGCTCCCGAAACACTTTAGGAGAGCTGATCTCCTTCGGCGTGGAGGAGCCACTCCTCTACAGCTGCTACCACAAAACATAAGGATGCTACAGAAAACCAGTAAAAGTATGCAAAAAGGTATCGGGAGCCCGTGGGACAAGGCCAGGGCCTCCTGCCCAGAGCTACTTTCCCTCAAGAGAGCGAGCCCAGAGGGCTTGCAACCATCTGAAGCCGAGGTGCGCCCACTTCAAACTGTCTGCACGGGCGTGACGCTGTCACCCGGAGCCTCTCGCAGCACCTTCTGCTCCCAGAAGAGGTAAATGTGTTAGAGGGATCCGAAGCAGCCTGCCATCCTCCGAGCCAATGTTACGCGCCAGCAACGGCGCCTCACGACGAGCGAACACCTGCACCCGGTGAAACGGGGAGAGGGATTCATAGAATCATAGAATGGT